GATTTAGTTTTGGTTTTGGTGCTTTGAGACAGAGTCTCATGTTGTTCAGGCTAGCCTTGAACTCCCAAATGCTGGGGTTACAAATGTGTGCCTCACCCCTGACTCAATGACTTGGTATTTTGAAATTATTTTAGGGCTATACAAAAATATTATAAACAAAATGGGGCTGACTTCCCATGTACCCTTCCCCAGCTTCCTCCACTTCAGCACATCTCTACCATGGAATAATTACCAAAACAAAAAACATTAACCACCAGATAATCCTATCACCAAACTCCAGTCCTCATGTCAATCAAACAGATTCCCCACTAACATCACCTTGTTCTGTATCAGGATGCAAGTCAATACGACACATGGCATTTAGAGACCTCAGCTTCTTAGTTTCCTCCAGACTGTGACAGTCTCTGGGTTTTTCCTTGTGTCTTGTGACCTTCACATGCTCAGAGGTTGCTGAGGAGTGTGTTTTCTGTTGGATTTGTTGCTTCCTCATGATTTAGGGAAGATTCTACATTCTGAGCAGGAATGCTACAGAGGGGATGTGCTCTTTTCAGTACGTCAGGGAGAAAAGGCTGTCCCTGCTACAGATACTGTTTCTTCCGTAATTGACAAGTATCTTACAGGAAGTTGTTTGAAAAACTATTGGCCATCAATTTTGGCACCCACATGTGAGTCTTGGTATAGTAATTATTACTGTAATTTTTATTTTTCCCTTTTAATTTTTGAGACAGTGTCTCATGTGGCCCAGTCTGCTTAGAATTCCCAGTAGCCAAGGATGACTTTGAACTTCTGTTTCTTCTGCCTCTATCTCCCGAGTGCTAGGATTACAGGTGTGGGCCACCATGGCCAGTTTATAAGGAGCTGAGAATCTTAATTCAGGGCTTCACACTATACAAGATCTCTATTAACTGAACTATTGCTGAGCCCCCTTTTCTGTGACCATTTCCTATAGTGCTGGACTTGTGGATTCCTATCCTATGGGAGGTATTAAAATACTGCTACTTTAAGGATTCTTTGTTTTTAGTAAGTAGCAATAAATGAAGATGTATTATAGACATTTTCCAGATTATCCGAATGTAGAAAATTGTATCATGTGTTATGTGATCCTGGGGTAGTCCTCCTCCATCTCCAATAGTTATGTTTGGACAGGTTTGATTTTAAATATTCTACAAACACTCATTTTGTTTTTCCTGTGAATGGGTATTTTGCATGCATATATGAGTGTGCACCTCATGAATGCCTGGTGACCACAGAGGCCAGAAAATTGTCTTGGATTCCTTGGAACTAGAGTTACAGGTGGTTGCGAGCCTCCATGAGAATGCTGGGGACCAAAGCCAGGGTCTTGACAAGAACAGCCAGAGTTCTTAGTGGCTGAGCCATCTCTCCAGCCCCTTTTTAGCTAGTTTTAAAATCAGAGCTTGGATATTTTATTTCACACTTAAATTCTTAATACAGCATGGTGGGATTTTTGTTGCTGTTGTTTTTAAATGAAACTTTAGGGAATGTCCTGTTTCATGGGAGAACTGACCCATGCTGCTTTGGGGAAGTGAATCGTTCAAGAATAAAGACAGCATCAGTGACCAGCACAGCTCCGGTCACCATAGGACAACTAATGCTTCAGTGTGGATTTCATTAGACTGTTATCTGTAGGCACACAAAGCAAAAGGCTTACACTGTGCTTCACCCATCCTCCCGCCTTCCTGGATGCACAAGGTGCCCTTCATTCTTTGCTTGAATTTGTGCCTCCAAGTTCCCTCTCAGAGGGACAGCAGTAGCTGCTGTCCTGGAGAGACAGGATGTTGGAGCAGAGGCCTGAGCTCCTGAAGCTTTGTGGCCTCTCAGTAAGCACCATATACCTGACACACCAACCCGGTCTTGACTCAGTTTCCAACAGCAGTGAGAGCTAATGGAACTGTGGGAAGAGTGCTGGCTGTGGCAGGCAGCCTGTGCTCCCTCCAGTGGTTTTGTGCTGGCTAATGACCATGTCACCTTCTTAGGTGTAGAGAGACCATTGCCTGGCTGTCCCTGGGAAAAGGAGGAGTCAGTGGTTTGGAGGACAAGTGAGGCCATCAAGTGCCACCTCGGTGACATGCTGCAGCCACTGCCCAGGGCCAATGCATCCAAGCCCTCAGAGGGAAGGAGGTGAGGTAAGGTGAGTCCTGCAGGGGCTTCCCATCTGGAGAAGGCAGGGCATCTCAGTCAGCAAGCAGCACCCATTTCCTGGAGATCAACATCCAGATGAGTTAGCCTGACACCCAAGGCCCTCCTGGTATGCCTTCTGCCTGTTTCTGCCCCATCTCATTCTGTAGGTGACTGATAGGTCATCTCCGCACAGCTGCATCTTCTGTCTCCTTTCTGCCCAGGGAATTAATCCCTTGGTCCTCAAGAGACTCAGGTCAGCTCCAGCCTCAGGGCTTTTGTGCCCACTGTCACCACCCTGACCCCCACTGCCAGCACTTCCTAACCTGACTTAACTCTCAGTAACGTTTCTTCCCAACACATTCATGTATCTGCAGTTTGGGACTCGTGTGCACTGAGCTGGTTCTAGCATTGCAGGAACAGTTGGGTCTGTTCAGTTTCTTCACCACTTTAATCTGGGGCACTAGGCTTTCCACCAGGCCCAATGTTAATGACAGAGCAGCTGAGAGACTTTGATCAATCTTCATCCCTGTGGGTGGTACGTGGGTCCTGCCAGAAGCCTTGGGTTTCTTTTCCTATCCACACCTACTACAGTTCCTGGGACACAGTAAAGAGGCCCACTGAACGAATTGGGACTTGATGTCCTGGGCTGCAATTTTCCATTTGGGTGTCTGGGTTTGTACCTTCAGAGCCCTCCCCAGGCTTCATGGGGTGCCCCTCCCAGCTCTGGGGAGGGCTATCTGAGAAGACAGAAGAAGGGGCTGGCCTAATCAGTGCTATGTTTCTATCCCAGAAGAGGCTGAGGATCCTGAATGCATCCCCATCTTCTGGGTCAGCCTGTGGGTAGACCAATCAATGAAATATGGACTTGGTAGGTATCTCCAGAATGTGGGATTGGCAGGGGATGGTGTGGCCATGGTAGCTTTTGAGTGAACGACTGAGTGATGTCTGTAATTGTGTGTCTATGTTACTAACTTATGCATGCAAGCGCTCTACTACTGAGCTCTTCCCAGCCTTTGTCCACCTCCTCCTGCCTTTCTAAGACAGCCCTCCCCCTGCCATTAGGGTGTCAGCTCTGTGACAACAGTACAGGGGCACTCTTTAATGACTCAGCATGCCTCGTCCTCTACAATGATGGCGACAGCCTCCAGTACATAGACCATGATGGTATGGAGTCTCACCCCACCATGAGCTCCCATCCTGACTCCTTGATGAAGAAGGTGGGAAATGGCTGCTGAGGGGCAGAGCAGCAGGGTATGGGGGCTGCCCTGGGGTCAGGCCCTCATTATGAAATCTCTTCCCCAACTTTCCAACCAGATCCCTCTCCTCCAGCATTTCCGAAGTTACATGAATGAACACCTGCAGAAGGCAGGGGCCAACACCACAGCCCAGGAAGGTGATGAGCTGGCCTGCCTGCCCTACCTGAAAAAATGGCTCTGCACAAGCCGCACCATCGTCCTGCACCTCAGCAATGGCACTATACAGATTGGTTTCTTCCAGGTGTGCAGGGGCCTGTACTTGAGGTGGCTGGGTGGGGTGGAAGTGCTGTCCTTTCACCTGGTGGGGGTCTTCCTCCGCTTTGCCTCAACCTCGGGCACCAGCTAGCTCTTCCCTCACTCCCTTCTTCCCTCCAAGGACACACCAAACTTATCCTGTGTCCCCTGATGGCAGCTGTGACCTCCATCAACAAGAACCAGGACTTCCACACATACAGCCTGAGCCTTCTGGAGGAATATGGCTGCTGCGAGGAACTGGGTAGACAGCTATGCTATGCCCACACCATGGTAGACAGGCTGCTGAGCTCAAAGTCTACCTGCAACAGATCGAGGACGACTCCTAGGCCTCTGTCCTTT